AACGGCGTCAAATATTTTGGGATGGAGGGAGTATAAAATAGTTCCTACTGAACATTGTCGGCTACTTGTTGATTCTTTTTAGGTGGTGTTTGTTCCTGTGCACAAATAGGTCTACACATGCACATGCGATTTCTCTTACAGTTATTTTGGTGCTTTAAAATGCTTTACGTATTGGTAATATTAGAGCCTAGAGGTCAAAAACTATTTTGTATAGAGAAAATTATCCCACATAGCCATCTGTTGTTTATTCAAGAAAATATTCTATGTATCTTCAGGGAACCATATGTGATACACAAATTCAATTTTATGTCCATTGTTAGAGAATCCATTTGCTTGAATCAAAATTAGAGAATCATATATCTGATGGAAAATTGTCTTTTTACCAATATGTTTGCCTTGCAGATTGGTAGTTCCTCTCGTCCTCCAGGCACCAGCTATGGACAATATCTATACCTCAAGGAAGCCTCTTCATGTTCCCCTCAATATTTCTTTCTGGGTGCATGCACTCTATGCTTGCTATGCAAAACCCAATGTATGTGAATGTGATCCTTATGCTGCAAAGGTGCTACTATAAACACTTCGTTCTTTTATCTATTTATTTAAACATTCTTTGTTGGTGTCGGTGCATTGCCTCTGAATTTTAGATCCTTTTTTAGTGCAAAATGCATATGAATGTGTGGCATTGATATTCCCTTGGAGATGAAACAAGGTATTCAGTGTTTGCAAATTAACATTTACGAGTAGGATTTACCTAGCTAGCATGGCCTCTTTCATAGCCACTTTTGCATGTATGAATCTTTGTGAATTGTGGTCCTATAGGCAAATAGAAAGGTAAAATTACGTGATCAACTCGAGCTCTTTTTCATATTTGTGCCACTCATATTTGTCCTAAGTTTTAACTGTATTTTAATTTAATCTTAAATTCAGGCCAACTACTCTTGCGGATGTTATTTAATGAATTTGGATGTGATTGTACTGCAAGTTAATCTAGAAATTCATTTCCCTGTTTTCATAACAACAAAACTTTTAAAGATGATATCCCTTTATTGTCATTCAAGTCAGCATTAAGCTTGCTGGTTGAAAATTTGAAGTTTTTTTAATTCATTCTGAAGTATGAAGTAGTATAGAACTTTCTGATTTTCTATTGGTGTTTAGCTCTTAATTGTTGTTTTATCTGAGAATTCACTGCTGACTGCTAGCTTAACCATCTCAATAAAGCTGATGAAGACAAGGTGCTCGATATTCAGACGATATTGGTCAAGTATAACATATTTCATATTGACCAGTGAGAAGCATCCAGAAGAAGTAAACGAATGAGCATTGAGTTCCAGAAAATGGTGTATAGTATAGATGGAATTATGAAAAGCAATCAACCTCATGTTTTATGTATAGTTTTTATTATTTTGTGAAAGGATGGTAGTGTCAATATGTAGAGTTTTTATTAATTTGTGAAAGGATGGTAGTGTCAATATTTAGTTCCAGAAAATGGTGTATTGTATAGTTGGAGTTAGCAAGAGTAATCGTCTAGCTCATGGTTTTGGGAAAGGATTTTGGTGTTAACTATTTTTTCGATCAGATTATCAAATTCAAAACTGCAAGTATTTTCACCCGAATGTTGTTCGTGAACCCGTGAACTTTATTAGCTTCAAATGTTTTTATTTTCTGATACAACTCACATGCTATTTTATTCACCAACTTTCGTTGTTTGTAGATTTGTATTACTACCATATGAAAACTATAAACATGTGATATAATTATTATTCGTGCTATATTAAAGTTTTTATTATAAAGGAATTACACTTAATAATTATTTAACATTATCTTACTGTGTGCTTTTAAATTGGTTTATAACTTTTACCCGTTGTAACGCACGGGCATCTATCTAGTGTGTGCATGTTTTCACTATTCGTTCCATCAATCCAAGGCGTGTGATCCCGGCGGCACGCCGGCACAGCCGATGACCCGCGCACATGCGGGTAGATGCACGTGGTTTGGCCACCAGACAGAAGCGAACGGCATCGCTGCGTCGTGGCGCCGTGCGGTAGCCATTGCCCATCGGCCAAATCGCGCAGGACCGAAACAGGCGCTCGGCATGGCCCGACCTATCCGGAGCGGCTGTGCTCCCGCAGGGCGCGCCGCACATATGCGCGACAGCAGGGGCCAGCGGGCATCGAAGCGCTTCAAGCGCACACGGGTACGCCGCGTCTCTGCGGTCGCTCGACTTCCCGGCACTTGTGTATGGACGCCATGCTTGCTGGCGTAGTGTCGTCCCACCGGACGATGGCCAAGTCCAAGCTCGGGTCGACGCTCGGCCACTTGATCCGATCTTGTGCGCATGCATGTTGCCGCGGCCACATGTCCGGCCGGCGTACATGCAAAACAAACAAATCCAATTAGATTAGCATCAAGGAGTTAGATATGTATATCGACACAATGATGCATATTAAATCCATCCATCCACTTGTCCAACGACATGCATGCATGCCGATCCATGCATGGTTGTAGCGATCAATACATCTCGTCGTGCGGCTGACACACCGGCATCTCGATCACCAGCGGTATATGCAAACAAAAGCAATACCGGAACAGATCAATCTGTGAATAGAAATTAATCTAATAATAAAAACAGATTGGAACGACAAACCGGTGATGGAAGAGCTGCTGATAACGTGTTGTAAACCAACGCGCCTATTAGCGGATCACCGGATCCGTTCCCTGTCCCTTCCACAGCAGTAGAGACATGAGATGATGTAGAACACCCGCGCCCATCCCGTTGCCATCAAGAATATTGCAGAAGTAGACAATGAACGCAGATATAGGATGGAGCTCTCTCTTCATTATAGATCTCATCTGTAGTATAAGCCAGCCATTAGCCATTAGATGTCACACCCTGCCCCTGTATATATAGGGGTCTTAGGAGAAGATAGATCTTATCTCTACTCCGGTTCGGATTGGCCTACAAGAAACTTATCTCCAAGAGATTTGTTTCACAACAGGACCCACCTATCATACCTCCTTTCCCCTTTTCCTCTCTTTTTCTCTCTCTTGGGCAAAAGGCATGCACTGCAGTGCTGGAACGGGCAGTGGACGGGCGGCAGCGCGCGGGGATGGTCGGCTCGGGGATGGGCGATGGATGGCGGTGCGCGGGGATGGTCGGCGCGGGGATGGGCGATGGGTGGCGGTGCGTGGGGACGGACAGTGAGCGGCGACACGCATAGCAGCGCGCGGACGTGGAGAGGATGGGGGAGGGAGAGTGGAGATGGATGGGGAAGGGGAGGTCAGCGCACATGGTGGCGTCACCGGGATCCGCCATTTGTAGGTGGGAGGGGAGGGAGATCGGAGGGGAAGATGAGGTGGCCCGCGCCTCCGGCCGCCACCCGCCGTGCCGACCACTTTGGTCACCGCCCGCCTCTCCGCTATGCCCCTGCCTCGCCCGCCATGGCTGCCGCCATGCGCCGACCTCCCCTTCCACTTCCATATCTCATCCCTTCCCTATCCACCTCCACGCCCCTCCCCTCCCCCATCCCTTCCACCTCCCAGCGCGCTGCCGTTCATGTCGTCTGCCTGCCCGTCCATGGGCGCCGCCACCCACCGCCCCTCCCCTTCCATCTCCATCTCCTCCCCTTCCCCATCGACCTCTCCCTCCCCCATCCCTCCACCTCCCCGCACGTGACCGCGCACCCGTCCACGAGCGCCACAATGTGCCCACTGCCTGTTCCCGTGCCGACTGCCCGCCCGTCCCCGCGTACCACCGTCGGCCAACCACCCGTCTCCGTGCCGCCGTGCACTCCTTGCAACTAAGAGAAAGAGAAAGAGAGAGGAAGAGGGGAAGATGAGGTATGACAGGTGGGTCCCAACATTTTTTTAAAAAAAAAGAAGTGCTGGTTGGATTGCCACACGCACACCACGTAGGGCAAAACTATTCTAGATTGAGCCGAGTGTGGTAATTCGTCCAGTATTAAAAGTTCAAGGTTAAAATTTGGTCGACCGCGATAGTTCTGCGAGTAATTCATAATTTTTCCTTACTAGAAAAAAATACCCGTGTGTTGCAACAGGTGAAGACTAATTTAAACTTATTATTTTTATATGGTTTAATTAAGATTAAATTCACAGTGGAAATTCGCTTGGATATATATATATATATATATATATATATATATATATATATATATATATATATATATATATATATATATATATATATATATATATATATATATAGAAAACCATGAGCTGCAGTTAAGAGCCCGATCATCTCAAGTTAGCATGCGAGTTTTTTTAAGAGATTTCTTATACGACTCCTATATTTCCAAAAGCGAACGAACTTAAAAACTGACTCATATAAGAATATATAAGGATGACGATCCAAAGTACCGGTAAAAACATCTTTAATTTTTATAATAAGGATAGATTTAAATTTAGACTAAAATATTTTCTTATGGAATGATGATTCGCAGGATCAGGACAAAACGAGGCATCTCTTCTGTTGTGCTTTCTTGGAAATAAATTCCAATGATTGGCCTTGTGATGCCATATAATTGGATTCGTCCTTTGTCATGGTAACCGATATATAGTACTCCCTTCGTTTCCATTCTAGCTTATTCATTTTGTGACGAGTGGGTAAGCGTTAATTTTGGTAGCAATGGATGACAAGACGAGAAGATTGAAAAACTATGCAGAAATTTTGAGAGATTGTCGATTGATAAAGGAACACGGCATTGGCATACATGAAGGAACACGGCTCGTTACAAGATACTTTGTTTTGTTTTTTTTTTTCTAAAAGATGTACTACCTTTGTCTTAGACTTAGAGTATAGCAATCTAAAATTAGACATAACTCAATCCGGTACTACAAAACTAAACAAGTCACCTGTCCAGATTTATAATTCTAGGTTAATTCTCTATTTTAGCTTATTATATTCTAGGATGAAGAAATTAGTATAGTTATAAATCCAAGAAACATCCTAGCCTCCGCCTTCTTAAAATATGTACATAGCTACATTATTACGAGATAGGAACATTTATTCGACAGAAGAACTAAATTTCATGGTACCATTATTACACGGCTTCTATAGATTAATTAATCAATACGTGGATATATAGGGAACTCGAGGTATTGCGTGCAACCAAAGCTTGGACTTCCTTCTTACCGTGATACCAAATACCTCTGTCATGTCTAGCTCCTCAGATTTGATGCCGTCGGGAAGCTCCCAATCAAAGTGGTAAAGAAGGCTAGCAAGAGCAAGCTCCATATTAGCTAAACCTAGCGCTATACCAGGACACATCCTCCGCCCAGCTCCAAACGGGATGAACTCAAAGTCCGCCCCTCTAAAATCAACTGTACTATTCTCAAATCTCTCTGGCCTAAATATCTCGCCATCGCCCCAATATTCGCCTTCCCTGCCTATCTTCCACACGTTGACAAAGACCTTGGTGCCCTTTGGCACATCATAGCCCATGACCTGGCACGTCTCGCGGCACTCCCTGGGGATCAGGAGTGGCGCTGGCGGGTGTAGCCGTAGGGTCTCCTTGATCACCAGCTGCAGGTAGCTCAGCTTGGCGACATCATCCTCGGTTAGCTTGTCTTGTCCCTTGAACGTCTCCCTCACCTCTGATTGCGCCTTCCGCAAGATCCGCGGGTTCTTCATCAGCTCCGACATGGTCCAGTCTAGCGTCGTCGACGACGTCTCGCTCCCGGCCGAGAAGATGTCCTGCAGCCATGAGATCGACCAGACACGCATCATATATCATGCATGATGCATGCCGCTGTCACGCTAAAAGATTTTCTGTTTGTACTTGGGATTTATTGCAATTAAGCAGGTGTTAATTACTGGAGTACGGTGTGAGATGGCTTACGAAAATGACGGTGCTGATGATCTCGGTGGTGAGTGCGAACTTGAGGCCGCCGCTCCTCTGCAGCCGGAGAAGGACGCTGAGCAGGTCCTCCTCGTCTCGCTCCGGCGGCGGCGCGCCGTCGCGATCGCGGATGATGCTCTCGGCGATGCGGTAGATGTTCCTCTGGCAACGCGCCATGTCCCGCGTGGCCGCGCTGAGCCGGCGCACCAGCCGTGAGGACGGGTACAGGTCGGCCAAGTTGATCCCGCCGGTGAGCCGCACCGCCTTGTCGAGCTCGTGCAGGAACTCGTCCCGGTGGTCGCACCGCGCGCCGAACGCGGCGCGCACCACGGAGTCGTTGGTCATGCGGCAGATCCTCTCACTGAGGTTGAAGCAGGCGGCGCCGCCCTCGGCGGAGGCGGCGGAGACGGAGCGGAGGAGTCGCCCCACCTCGTCCTCCCTGACGGGGCGGAAGGAGAGCACGCGGCGGTGGTTGAAGAGCTCGAGCGCGCACACCTTGCGGAGCTCGCGCCACCGCTCGGTGTAGGGCCCGAAGATGATGTCCTTGCCGCCGCAGCTGAGGATGTCGATGGTGGCGCTGAGGTGGCGGCCGGCGAAGGCGGCGTCGTGCGCCCTCATGACCTCCGCCGCGGCCTCGGCGGAGGAGACGACCAGCGTGGGCACGGCGCCGAGGCGGAGGAGCATGAGGGGGCCGTAGGTCAGGGACAGCTCGCGCATGGCCCGGTGCGGCAGGTCGCCGTACCGTGACAGGAGGAGGTGGTGCAGGCTGCCGATGAGCGGCAGCTGCGACGGCCCGGGCGGCAGCCGCAGCGCACTCTCCCTGCCGGACGGCGAGGCATAGCGGGCGATGAGCTCGACGAGGAAGAAGAAGGATATCAAGGCCAGAAGCAGCAGTGTCGTCAGCTCCATTGGTGCTAGTTTGCAAGTGAGCGTGCAGCTGTACTGACAAAAGCCAGATCATATTCATATGGGTCCCTTTATATTGGAGCGGTAGGTGGTCAGTGATCATTGGATACAGGATACTTTTACAGTGACGGAGCTTGAGCTAAATATGTGTGTGGCTAGTGCTAATTGACACAGGAATCACTGATGTTAACCAATATAGCAAAATATCTCTCTTGAGCTAAATATGTGTGGGGCTAGTACTAAATTTGCATATATCAAATACTAATATTTTTTAGGTTAATTGGATTCATACCATTACAAATATGTCATTTTAGATAAATGCCATTACTATGGTTGCGTTCTTCTCCCTCCTTTTCCAACTCACCTCTCTTTTTTTTCCGCGCGCACATTTTTCAAACGGCTAAACGATGTATTTTTTTAAAAAAAAATTATATACGAAATTTACTTTAAAAAAATATATTAATCTACTCCCTCTGTTTTTTAATAGATAACGCCGTTGACTTTTTCTTACATGTTTGACCATTCGTCTTATTCAAAAAATTTACGTAATTATAATTTGTTTTTTTATGAGTTGTTTTATCACTTATAGTACTTTAAGTGTGATTTATATATTATACATTTGCATAAAATTTTTGAATAAGACGAATGGTCAAACATGTAAGAAAAAGTCAACGGCGTCATCTATTAAAAAACGGAGGTAATATTTTTTTAGAAAAGAGCTAATACTTAATTACGTGCTTATAGAGAAAGGCTATTGGCACATCCATGTCTCCTAAAATCCTGTTGAGAGTACATCCACATGGGCCGATATTCGTGGGCACCCTATAGTGGATAGAACGATGCACCTATAATTTCACCATCATATGACCGGTGCATCTAATTCTATTATTTGACCATCATATTAGCGGTTCTTCTCTAAATTCTAACACTTTCATCCCGTAGTGATTCAAGATACTGTTTGCTTGCACGTATTATATGACATTAACCAAAAACAGAGTGGTACAAAAAGAGTAGATGGATGCATAGACGATAGATGTATGGCTCCGTGAAGGCCGTAACCAAGTGGCGTGAAAAGAAAAGTTGGATACACGTATCTCCTATCACCATACATATATTTTTTAAGGGGAAACTATTTTGATCCCTTAAGAGGATGTCCCCTTGCTATTTACATCACTACTACAAAAACCCTTATAGGGACTGGCCTTATAGGTGCCGGTTCATTTATAACCGGCACCTATGAAACTTTTCCCACATCCGCACATTGAAAAATATACAACCGACACCTTTAAGGATTATAGGTGCCGGTTCATTAGAAAAACCGGCACCAATACTATATGTACCGGTTTTTAAAAAGAACCGACACCTATAATATATAATAGGTGCCGGTTAATTAAAAAACCGGCACCCATACCAAACCGAGCCGAACTGGGCGAGCCGAGCCGGCCTCATCTCCGGACTTATCTGCGCGTAGGTCCCTGCTTCTCTTCCTTATCCGCGCATCTTCTCCTCCGGCCTTATCCACGCGCGAGAGAGAAGTCTCGACTCCTCTCCACCGCGGCACCGCCCTCCCCTCCTCCTCCTCCCCCTCCCACCCACGCCTTCTCCTCCGCCGCCCTCCCCTCTCCCTCCCCCTCCAGCACCCGCCGAGTCCCCCTCTCCATCCGCCCTCTCTCTCTCCGGCCGGCCGCTTCCCTCCCCCTCCGTCCCCATCTCCTAGCCGGCAAGCAGGGACGCATGGACCGGCGCGCGACGAGGAGGAGCACATCCGGTCCCCTCTGCCTCTCCCTCTCCATCGGCTTCATCGAAGGCGGCCAGATCTGGAGAGGGGGAGGTCGGGGTGGTAGGTTGGTGGCAGCGATGTCCGGCGGCGGCGGTGGCCAAGGGAGGTGGCAAGCGGCCTCCCCATAGGTGACCGGGTGCAGATCCGGTCTCCCTCCTCCTCTCCCTCTCCGGTCGGGGCAGCGACGTGCGGCGGCGACGTGCGGCGGCGGCCGTGGCCAAGGGAAATGGCGGTGGCAACGGACCCCGGCTGTGATTGGCAGCAGCGCATTGACGACGACGGAGTGAGTTCGTGCATTTGCTTCTGTTGTTGATCTGTGATTTGTGATTGATTGGATTGTTGTTCACTCGGGACTTGTGATTGTTGTTGTTGATCAGTGATGGATTTTGTTGTTGTTGTTGTTGTTGACCGGATTGAATTGCATATGTGATTGTTGTTGTTAACCGGGGAATTGCATCTGTGATTTGTGATGGAATGCATCTGCTTGAATGGTGTGGCTCAAAAGCATCGGCTCAGCTCGGCTTGGAGCCGGCTTCTTCATTTTTTTTTTTGAATCTGGGAGAGCACAAAGGTGCCAGTTCTACAACCGGCACCAATGACATAGGGTCATTGGTGCCGACCAAAAGGTGTCGGCCGGGAAACTGGCACCTATTGCCGGTTCCCAACCGGCACCTATAAGGGTTTTTGTACTAGTGCATGTCACTCAAATGGTTATGAAAAAAATTTGAGGAGGTGTATTAACATGTGATATATCACTCCACAAACATGCAAGTTCAAATTCAACTTCTATATCTCGCAATGGAAAAAGAAATTAAATTAACTATTTGAGTGACATGTAAACAACGGGGGACATCTCGTTGAGAAATTAAAATCCACGCCCTTTCTGAAGATAATGACACACACAGCTCCTCAGTTCTTAGGTTATCAACAGATCAATCGAACTGACATTTTGCAGGCAATTATTAAATAGAGTACTACCTCCGTCCCAAAATATAGTATTTTTTTTGGCTATGAATCTGGACAATTGCTACATTTTAGGACGAATGTAGTACTTAACTCAGTAGTCAATCTTCACACTTGGTACGTAGGTATTAGGTACTAGTCAGCAGCTAGCACGAAGTCTTAAAATAAATGAACAAGAACATCACGAGCTAGAGAACTACGATTAGAATTGAACAACAAGAAAAGAACATATAACCAACGGTAGGTCATCAGTAGATGCCGTGCATAAGTCATGCGAAATTATCCCTGCTGAGATATATTGTAGAATTAATTTTATTTTCCTAGCGATCAAATTATGCACGTAGGGCCATGGCGCGCGCCCCCCACATGATTATGGACGAGGTAACATCCACGTGATCTATTATATAATTTATAAAAACAGCACGCGTGGCCTCGTGGGAACAAAGTTAATTTGATTGCTCTTGTTGCAGGCACGACCAACAAAAATGAAATTAAAAAAAAAAAACTATGCGTGTCTGCTAGACTGCTACATCCAAAATATATGATGTAACAAACATTATGAAAAAAAAAAGAGTGAGTATAGTTGTCTTCATGTATGTCCGTTGTGTATGCTCACATGCGCATTATCAATCAAGAACAACCCATGCATTGATCCACTGGGCCACCAAAATGAAGTATATGCATATACTATCTCCCTTTTTACTACAAATTGATCTTTCATCTTATTAGAAAATATACATATTTATTATTTTATTTTATTGTGACTTGTTTTATTATTAAAGATATTTTAAGCATAACTTATACTTTATATATTTTCACTAAATTTTTAAATAAGATGAATAGACAAACGTCATGTCTAAAAGTCAATAGCGTTATATATTTAAAAATGGAGAAAGTATTCCCTGTAGTTTTTAAAAAATGATTTTTAGAAACTTGTATAATTTTGTTCTCAAAATTATCTCATTTTGTAATGCTCTATTCAAAACTTGTTTGCAATAATTGCATTGTTAGGTTGCTATCAATGCTTGTTCATGATGGCGGCACTGAACAGTTAGTTGTATGACCTAATAGCATCATCAAGAAAATGAGAATAATCCATTCCCAAAATTTTTTATTAGATTTTCTAAAATGAAAATAGGAATTGAAAAAACTCATCCCTCTAAGAGAAACCCTAAATTTAATTCTCAAAAACTAAAAGTGAGCCCTTCTGTTAAACTACCAACAGAAATCTCCCGTTTTCCATCATCCCCGCAAGAAAAAAGATCGCGCGACCCATCCCATGCACTCCTCACTACCCTGACGCTGTGTCGATCTCCCTCTCAAGTGCTACCTGGCCCCGAGGCCGATCTCCCTCCCACGTACTCCCTGCCCAATGCCGATCTCCCTCCCACGCACTCCCTAGCCAACACCAATCTCCCCCGGGGATTTTTCTCAACTACAGGTACTTGTATAGGTCACAAGGCAAATGTTCAGACATTACAAGTAGATGATCAAATGAACTCACAACATTGACTCTTTAGCAGTTTGCCTCATCATGGTCCAAGTGGCAAGCAAAGATGGATGAAGAAATATAACATTATATGTTTCAGTTTTAGGACTATATTTTTTTTACTAAGATTTGTGCTATTTAATCAAGTTATTGTGTAGTAATACGTTTTAGATGGATGACTCTGTAACAATATACTTGCTACGTGCAATGACATGTGATTCATAATAAAGATTTTTCAATAATGATTTGTGACAGCAACAAGAAATTATTTCTTAAACTGTGTTTGATGATGATACTATCACTGCGGTTACTATAATGAAAAGTAGTGTTACAGCTTATCAGAACTCATGTGTTACCAGTGCAAAATTATGTGTTCCTAGGCTATGCGGCAACACATGTTCTTGTGTTACAGGAGCTAAAAATGGTGTTACTAGCTAAAAAGATGGTAACACCTTTTCTTAGCAGTTGCAACATGAATTATGTGCTACAAGGGTCATACTGTAGTAACATGGCCAATAGGAATACATATCAGTTTGTGTTACTGGAGTCCTCAGTAACACGTTTTTGGGCATGCAGTAGCGCAAAGATGTGTTACCAGAACCCTGTTCTGTAGTGGTGCACCATCCCCTGTCAGCTCCCCTTCCCCTCTATCCCCCGCCACTGTTCTTGCTCCACCTCTCCCTCCCCTCGCTTTGCCACCTCTCTCTGCATGCACTCACCATGCTAAAAAAACAAGGAGACGAGTTGTCGAAGCAATCTCGTCCAGATGCTACTGGATGATGAGTCTTCATCGGATGATGAAGAAGAAGAATTTTTTTTAGGTGGTTCAAATAGTGTACTGTCAGTACATTGAAGAATCGAAGCGAGACAGG